ATGTAAACTGCTTTAAATATGACTGCTGCTTATTTCCTGTGCACTTGAATACTAGTCTGCGCTTGACTGTAGTCTGTCTGCTTATTGAGTTTATTTAACCCATCCCAATTTATTGGAACTGTGTGAACTAGAGTCACTAGGCTACTCACCTTAATGTTGTTCTAAAGGCTTATTACTTAAAAACACAAAAATGTCCTGCTCGCACTTGCCAATTTAATGGCAGAGAATGGATAGATCGTTTGTTTTTTGAAGTGGATGCATATCTGTCGTAAAATAATCATATGCATCTTGTGGCGTATATTCCAAGCATTCTGAAGGTATATTGAGGGTTTGGTGAGAAACAAACCGAAATGGCAAGTTATTATATTTTATGAAAATCTTGCGTTGCAGTGCGAGTGCGCAGTAGCTCACAAGTGCATATCCTTTTGAGATATCAGCTATAATCAATTTTAATAAAACACAAGACTACATTATAAAACTCTAACAGTAGGCTATTTAATATCTGTTGTTCTCCGGTTGTCAGTCAGAATGACAGTTCTTGCGTGAACATAGGCCTGTATATACCCAAGCCAATTTATCAATCCTTCTTTTTTGTCTTAGTTTTTAAAATATTTATTTTGAAACAAATTAATTAATTAATTAATTAAACAAACAGATTTACTGGGTGAGCAGGGTAGGCTATGACAGCTCTCATATCATACCCTACCATGCCCAGCTGATGCGAAGAATAGAATTCATATCTACACAGAAGAAAGCCCTGTCTAGACTCTGCCCCAGTATGAGTTGTGTTGAGCTATTCATTAGCCTGTTTGTTTGATGAAAAAAGATGAAATGTAGTTGCAATAAATGCGTTAAGAATCCATAACTGCATCAGCAGAGGACTATTATTCTGCTGCATGATACTGCAAAAGAACTGACGAAGGCACGGTTTGATCTTCGGCTGACCAATCAGCAGAAAGGGCGTTTAATTCCCGCCCACGTGTAGAAATCGAATATTCAAGCTGTTTATTCATTTTTCCACCCACGAACGAAAAACGAAAATTTAAGCTTAATTCTTGTTTTTTATTATTCATGTATGCAGCATCTTTGTTTGGATCAAGATTAAAATGCAGTGGTTGCCTCTAATTTTAAATGTAAAGAGCACAGACAAAGCCTTAGTTTGTTTATATGAAGAGATTTATTTTATTTGTGTTGCTTATTTATTTGATTTGGGGCTTGTTTTAAAATTTCAATGTAGTTTTGTTATTTACATTTACATTATATTTAAATTTTGTAATTTAGCAGACGCTTTTATCCAAAGCGACTTACAAATGAGGACAATAGAAGCAATCAAAACCAACAAAAGAGCAGTAATGTGCAAGTGAAATATTAGTATATTATTATAGTATTATTTTTCAATTTCACAAAGAAATGTGCAGCATTTTGTCCAAGCAATAATAAAAGGACACATTTAATTTATAATTTGTCTTAAATCTCATTTTGTAAAAAAGAAAAAAAAAGAAAATCGTGAATCAAATCGAATCGTGAATCGAATCGTGAGTTGAGTGAATCGTTAAATCCCTATTGTTGTTAATTTTTTTTTATTGTCGGATTATCATACAGTATGCATCAATGAATGACAGTTTTGACTGTCATGGTGTGTGCGTAAACGAGTGTGAAATACCTAATTAAGTAGCTTTTTCCGATCACTTGGGCACTTTTTTGCATTTAAATTCTGACTGTTGACATTGAAAATGATGCATGTGTTTTTCGAGGGTATCAGTTAATTTCTGATTGCCGTTTTGACAGCGTCTGCTTGCATATTTTAATCATATTTGGTCATTCTCTTTAATGTATTTGCCCCGATTTGATCAATGGGAAATTTATCTAGCGCTATATTTATATTATTTTGTCATCATTATTTTCTTTTAAGGAGTTAAAAATGGCTCTTATCAAACTTGATTGACATTCTATCACACTATTTTGACAGTTAAAGTTTTGGGCGTTTTTTTGTTGGAGTGGGTGGGTTTTTGTGAGCTTTTGGGCTGGAAATCGTTCATCCAATCTGGCAACACTGTTCAAAGCGCCAAATACGAGTAGAATCAGCGCTGAAACGTGTTACTCGACCTGGTGACTTTTTATGAATGGCGGTGAGAATTTTGAGATCGCTGTCATAAAATTCGCAACGGTTGTGATGTAATTAATTTGTTAGTGCTAGCTGAGCTGCGCTTGGTTTGAGCCGCTCTAATTTGCATTTGGGAACGCAACATTCGTCATTAGAAACGTTTATAAATCAGTTGTTGTTTACAAAGAGAAGTTTCAGTGCCACATAATCCTTCAGAAATCATTCTAATATGCTGATTTACTGCTCAAGAAACATTTCTCATTATTATCAATGTTAAAAACAGTATTGCTGCTTAATATTTTTGTGGAAACAATGATAACACTCAAACATTTGTATAAGATTTAAAAAAGAGAGAAATTAATCATTTTATTATTATTTTATTTATTTATTTATTAATTTTATAAGGTGAGTGAAGACATTTCAAATGATTTCTATTTAATAAATGCATTAACAAATTTTAATTAATATATTGGATAAATGCAAATAAATGCTGTTCACAAAATATGAAGCAGCAAAATTGTTTTCAACATTGATAATAATCAGAAATGTTTCTTGAGAGTCAAACATTTTTTAATGATTTCTAAAAGATCATGTGACACTGAAAACTGGAGTAATGATGAAGAAAATTCTGCTTTGCATCACAGGAATAACATTACATTTTATAATATATTAAAATTGAAAACTTTTTATTTGTAATACTATTTCACAATATTGCTGTTTTTTTTAATCAAATAAATTCAGCCTTGATAAGCAGAAGATATTTATTTCAAAATCATTAATTAAAATTTTTCCAAACTTTTGGCAGGTACTTTAATAATAATAACAATACAATATACTTTACTATAATATATTATATTATATTGTTATCATGATTATTAAATGCTGCTTTTTATTTTTTACAGGACAATAGTGTGTATTATTACAATATAAGATATATGTTTTAATGTGCTAAAATATATATTTTTAATAAGAAGTGCTGGGAGCGTGGCTTGTGGGTGTGACTTGGGGCGTGCTCAGATTTTTGCTTCTTTTTTGTCTCTAGCTGATCACATGCCTGATATAGCCAGAAGGACTAATTTTCTATTAATGACGAATTGTTTTAAATAGAAATGGATGTGTTGCATATGCGTTCACAAACTGTTGGATATGTGGTGTTTTTTAAGTTCACTTACTTATGAACATAGTCGGATTCAGAGCCGGGCTCAGAGTTCTGCTCAGGGAGGTGCTCAGCAGCTTGCCGAGGGTTTTCTCGGAGTACGGTGGAGGTGAGCTGGGGTGTCTGCAAGGCTCCGGGAGTCTGTAGGGTGTCACTCCTCATCATCCATGAGCTCTCCACACTCTCCTCTGCAGAACCATGACACCACACACAAAACAGCCCATGACTGCTTACTTTTAGGCATCTCGGGTCAACTGAAGCAACCCACAGGCCTCCCATCTCATATCAGTATGATTACATCTACCGGCATCCTCACCCTCGATGCGTTTCTTGTGCATGGCTGGACGGCCCTTCTTGCTCCGTATAGATCCAGCTTTGCTGCTGCTGCTGCCGCTGGTGATGGACATGCGATCTTCATCTCCACCCGTCAGCAGAGAGTTCCTGTAGGAGATGAGCGGCAGCCAGATGTCTTCCCGCCTCTCCATCATCTGCTCAGTCATGAACTTTTCCAGATACGAGTGCCTGAGAGAGCCAAAGGGAGAGCACAAACATATTGTTTTTAACAATAGACTTCTATTTATCTCATTCCTAAAACTTCAAATATATACACTGCCGTTCAAATGTTAGACATCAGTAAGATTTTAAATGTTTTTTAAAGATATGTTTCCTATGCTCATCAAGACTGTATCTATTTGATCAAAAACACAGAAAAATTTGGGAAACATTGTTGCAATTTAAAATAAGTTTTCTATTTTAGTATACTTTAAAATAGAATTGATTCCTGTGAAGCAAAGCTGGATTTTCAGCATCATTACTCCAGTCTTCAGTGTCACATGATCCTTCAGAATTCATTCTAATATGCTGATTTATAATCAGTGTTGAAAACAGTTGTGCTGCTTAATATTTTTTGGTACCTGTGATACTTTTTTCAGGATTCTTTGATAAAGAAAAAATGAAAAAGAACAAGAAACTTTGTGTTACAATATACACTACTATTCAAAAGTTTGGGGTCAGTAAAAAGGTTTTTTTTTTTTTTTTTTTTTTAAGAAATAAGTACTTTTATTCAGCAAGGATGTGTTAAATGGATAAAAAGTGATAGTAAAGATTTATATTGTGAATAAATGCTGTTCTTTTTTAACTTTTTATTTATCGAAGAATCAAAGAAAAAAGTAAATGATTTCTGAAGGATCATGTGACACTGAAGAGTGAAGACTGGAGTATTCAGTCTTGGAAAATTCAGCACTGCATCACAGAAATAAATTATATTTTAAAGTATATTAAAATAGGAAACCGATATTAGAAATTGCATTAATATTTCACAATATTACAGTTTTTTCTGTATTTTTATCAAAGAAATATAGACTTAATGAGCATAAGAGACTCCATTTTAAAAAAAACATTAAAATTTTACTGATCCCAAACTTTTAAATGGCAGTGTATATGTATTTGTACTCGTTTTTTTATACATTAAAATACAATCTTTCTGCTCAGGTTCTCAAAGGATCCATCCAATGAAAATGAATTTTGCACAGTGAAGGATTACATGATGTTTTAGTGTATAGTCAGAATCTCTTTTTACTAAATCAAGTCAAAGCTCAAGCCCATGAGCCTAAAAGAAAAACATTACACCAACCTTTGCTAAATAAAACAAAGTGCTCCTCAGTCTAACTTACACTGTTTTCTTGTCTTGGCGAAGAAGCTTCGAGGAAAATTCACAGAGAACCTCCAGGAAGGCCAGATTTGGAGGGGGATACTCTGGTCCTTTAGGATTCTGATACTTGAAAGCGAACTCGATGCCATCTCTGAATACAGCAAAAATATTTGTGAGAGGTTGAATGAAGATGGTGTCCATTTGGTGCTTGATGAATAATCATTCAAATATGAAAGAGAAGTTACTTGTGCAGTGTGGCCACAGCCTCTCTGGTCTTGATCTGGTCCAAGCCAAAGGTGAGGGCAAAGCGACGGGCCAATTCCTTAATGCCACTCACATGAGATGAGGTCCTGTCCAAGTTAGGGCCCTGATCCTGGATCAGCTCATTAAAGAGCTGAAGAACAGAAAAATAACAGGATTAGTAGAATTATCAAGATCGGAAATGATAATGCAGATATCATGTGAATCTGATGCTGTCATCTCACCTGCTGTAAGCTCAGGATGAGCGTCTTGGCACACAGTATCTTATCCGTCTGTCTGGTCTTACTTAGAGTCTCCTTGATAATGTCTCCATAATCGTTGTAGTACTACACATAGTTTACAATAAGTTCAGCAGTGTGACAAAAAAAATTTAAGAACTAACCTAGAATGTGTTTTGGAGATAGCAGTACAGTATACAATGTATATCCACTGGCATTGAGTGTGGGATTGACATGGAGCAGAACAAGCAGCGAGAGCATGAAAAGGCTAAGAAATGTTCAACTTTATGCAAATAATAGAAACTAATCAGTGGCAAAAAAATCACTGAGGTTACAGCATTGACATTGGCAAGAGTTTCTGGTAATATAAGTGCTTAAATCACATTGCCTGATTTCAAATGCAGTTTGGACACAGCCAATCTCTGAAGATTAGTTTCTTTCATGACAGTGGGTACGTCAGATAAGGTGATACTTGGTTATTTTACCTTCATGTAGTGTTTGAAGATGTCTGCAGCAGCTGGCATGTCTACTATATCATAAATGATGAGCTTGCTGAAGGCAGCTAGGAGGTTTCTCCTCTTGTGTAAGGCCTCAATCTTGTTAGCTTCATCCTCCTCATCACCCTCTGGGTAACAAACATGAAAACACTAACTTCAACACGTCAAAACATTCAAAACAGTGATTTAACATTCACTATGTCTATGCACAAATTTGCAAATGTCTTCAAATAGAAATCATTATTTAAGCATATACAGAATTTGATTTATAACTGTTAATGACCGTAAATTCAATATAAACATAACTTAAACATACATTTTATGCCGTTAATATCATCTCTAGGCTCACCTATACTCTGATTCTCATCATCCTGGTCTATAAACACATGGTCTAGGATGAAGTTGAGCAGCTCATTCTGTAGGCTGCTGTCTGGGTTGAAGACCAGAGGTTGCAGACCCTCCCTGGACCCTGTGGTGAGCTGGTGACTGAAGATCATCAGCAGGTCGCATAGCAGCATGAACGCCTGGAGGAAGAGATGGGGAAGTGAAACAATCGTAGCATGAATGACTATTGCACAGGCACATCTTTCCTGAATGAAAGGACAAATGAAGGCACTCACCTGCTCTTTAACCGGCGTGTTGACGTTTGATAAACATTGCTGGCACATGGCTAGAAAAGACTTGACAACCCTGCGAAGTGCTAGGAGATCATCCTGAAATTAAAGAAAATATGTATGCTTTTTGGTTGAAAGTTGCAGTAATCAGGTAATGAACATGCTTGTTGTTCAGTCTAGTCACATTCAATCTAGGATGAGATCACAAATGTATTGTGAGTGGGTCGATGAACGGCTGATAATGAAATGAAACTTTGCAGTGTATTGCAACAAGTTGCATTGCATCAAATCCATCTGCTAAATAAGAAGTAAAAACATTAAATAGATGCCTAACATACCTTGGATGGAGCTCCTTCTGTGATCTTCACAAGTTGCCACAGTATGGAGTAATGAGAGCACTGAAGAGCCTGTACTGCTATCTACAAAACACAATCAAACACACTTAGTATCTACATGAAATCAATGGTGCCATGTCACCTGAAAACATCTTCAATAACTGGGTTAATCTCACAAAAATGTCTACAAAACAAGTACAAAATCAAATTTAAGAAAAAGGTTGAAAGTGTTATTTTGTTTGTCTGGAATATTTGATTCTGATTGGTCAATCACAGCATTTTGCAGTGAAATATTTTGGGAAAATGTTACAAAATGATGCTAACTTTTGAAATGCAACAAAACTGTATAATGATACCAAACGTTTTCTTCTTGTTCTTTCTCTTTAATAAATGAATATTTCATTTTCAATTCTCAATACAGTAAAAAAAGCAATAAAAACATTCTGCACATTCTTCCATGATGCATTCAAAGAAATGTTTCTTGAGCACCAAAGCAGCATGTTAGAATGATTTCTAAAGGACCATGTGACACTGAAGACTAAATTACACACACACACACACACACACACACACACACACACACACACATTCAATATAAGATTACAAATTGAATAACATTACTGTTAAATTGTAATACAATTTCACAATATTACTGTTTTAACAGTATTTTTATAGCACCACATTTTTAACCAGTAGTGTACTTCATTTGAATAATACTGCTTTTTTTTCTAGTTTTACAGAAATGAGAACTGTCATTAAAAAACAATGTTGGAATACAAATAACATAATTTCCTTTCATGTCTTTTTCTTTATATAATTTCTTATTTCGTTCCTTTAATTTTGTGTTGAAATGTGACCTGGGCATGTCCTTGATAGGCTTCAAGAGATTCCCTCATCTCATATCTGAAAGAGACGCACCTGCTCTGGCATAGAGCCCTGCTCTATTCCCGTCCTTAGCAACCTGTAGCAGTTCCCAAACAAATCCCATTTGGTCAAGTCATGAGCACTGATGGAGAGGAGAGACAGACACATTGCTTGTTCATTAGCACTCAATGACTCCAAGTGGTCAGAAATAACTTGCATTTGCAGTGATTTAACAAGACAGCAGCGTACTTGTGAAAGGCTGTGAGTTTCTTGAGAGTGGAGAGAACGTTGTAGATGTCGTCGTCATCCGCCTCTTCCCCCTGTTAATGAGGCAGACATTCAGAAATATGTTTTATCAGCGATGGCTGAACAATTCTATGAATCATAAATAACTGTTCACAATCTCTACCTCAGCTAGAAACAGCCTCAAGAGTAGAGGGAACAATGAATAAAGCTCTGAAATGGCAAAGCACTGAAATGTTTAAGGGATAGTTCAACCAAAAACCAAAACAAAAGAAAAGAATGAAAGAACAAAAGAAAGAAAGAGGTCTATATCAGATGTTTTCAATCTTTTATATGTTACATACCCCCAAATATGATAATCCTTGTATGAAGGACCCCATTTTAAAATTTAAAAGGCAGCTATGTATTTTCATGTTTAAAGACCCAATCTATACTGAGAAAAATTATTACGAATATAGGTAAAATATGAATTGGAAAATATTTACATACATGTATGCAATGTATTTATATATTTATATAAATTGAAAACATGCTAGATGTATGCATGTATTTATTTATTATTAAATATAGTTTTTGTTTTTAATTTATTTTTTAAACAATCTTTACAAAAAAATTTTTACTCTAAACTTTTCTACGGACTCCTTAATTTATATATATATATATATATATATATATATATATATACTTTAAGTATTCTGAAGCCATACAAGATGAAATTTGAATGTTGAGAACCAGATTTAGTCCAATCTGTAAATTGGATCAATCAGCTGATTGAAAAGAACCAGCTCAAAAAACATTTCATTCACTGATCTAGTTGTTAAGTTCAACTCACTGACTGCAAAAATAAATAAAAATACAAATAAATCAGTCTTTTTATTGACACTATTTGAAATACAAGAGGTTCATATGGACTAATTTTATTTCAATTAACAAAAAATAATAATAATTTTTGGACCTTAACAGCTGTGGTCACTATGAACTCTGGAAAAGAAATGCAATAAAAAATAACAGCATAAAGGCTTATATGACAAATGTCATTTTGGGGTAAAGTATCCCTTTTTAAAAAGCTGTCTGCTCATTGTTAAAGTGCTTTCTGAATATCTTTTGTAATTAATGTGATACTGTAACAAACAATCTCCCTAAATCTGTCCGTCACCTCCACAGAGCCCTCACCGCCTGCAGCAGCTCCTCCACCGAGTGGTTGAAGCGGTCAGCTAGATCATCGATGAGCTGACTGCGGCTGATGTCCACACGGTTCATGATGGTGTACTCCTCACTACACAGGATGCTGTAGGTCTTACTGCAGGCCTCCAGCACCTCCGTGTCCGTGTGCTTCTCCACCACAAACTTGATCTGCTTGAGCAATGCGTCCAAGTGCTGGAATATTCAAATTCCTCCATCAGCTAACGTTTAGCATTTATAGAGATCCAGCTGGAGAAACCGCTTACCTTCTCCATCCTCCCTGCACTGTACACATCCAGGTCAAAGTACTGCGGGATCTGTAGGAGGTTGGCTACTTTCTCTGCATCTGTCTGGTACTGTGGGCGGAAAATGGGGTTTTCAGCTTAGGACTGACCTGGTCATGATGTATGCGAGCTTGAAAACAGAATACGTTTCATCTTACTTTTGAGAGTAACATGGGAAGAGCCATGATGAAGTGCTCTGTTAATTTGTTTTTGTCATCAATCTGCGTCTTCCTTTCCTTCGCTGTCAAGACCTGCACAACAAGATAGACTAAACTAAGCATTGATGAACAAAAAAATGTTTTATAATAAAATGATGCAGATAGTTTTAGCCATATACTGTAGCTTGTCAAGTAAAGGTCTTACCCTTTTCCCAGTCCCTCTCCCCACAGGCGGATGGGCCTCAGCAGCCTGACGAATGGTACAGACAGTCAGCTCAATCAGAGCACTCTCCTGCCTGTCTGTCAACACTGAAGACAAACAGAGTCAGAGAGAAAGAGATGTGCTTATGTTGCAGATGCATACATGTAGCCGTATAGGACATGATAGGGGTAGATGTGTGACATTTTTCTGAGCAAAAAATAGCTCACCGATAGAGATAATAGGGGAGACGGGGCACCTTTTACTCCATATTTCAGGGTGAGGGAGCTGATTTTTCAAAATCATATTTTTATTCATACAACATTCAAAAGTCTGGGGTTGGTAAGATTTTTTTTTTACTTTTGGAAAGTCTCTTATGGTCACCAAGGCTGCATTAATTTATTAGAAATATTTTGAAATATTATTTTAAGGTTACACTTTATTTTAAAGTGTCCTTGTTGCAGTGTAATTAAAGCAATAAGCCCCAAGAAGCTGTGGTTTACAGTGAATTTATAATGGCTAAGGGGCGTTGTTAGGTACAACGCGAAGCAGACCCCTTAGCTGTTATAAATTCACTGTAAACCACGGCTTCACGGGGCTTATTGCTTTTATAAAACGGTTATTCCATATACGTAGTTGGGTTCCACAAAATAAAACAGAGCAAATAAAGTGTAATGACATAAATAAAAACAGTATTCTTCCACCAAACAATGTAGTTCCTCAGAAATGGTCGTGGTTGCAACAAAGTGGTGTATGTTTGTAGAGTAATTTACAACAGCTTTGAACGCAGCTCAACCAATCAGAATCAAGGACCGGAACTAACCGTTTTAAAATATACATTTAAGTACTGAGTAATATGAATTAACTACATGTACTTACTATATGGTCAGGGTTAGGATTAGGGTTACTTGCATGTAATTATGCATCATTTATTGTTATTATAATAGTAAGTACATGTAACGTGTAACAAGGACACGTTAAAATAAAGTGTTACCTATTTTAATTTCAAATAACTGTTTTCTATTTCAATATATTTTAAAATGTAATGTATTCTTGTGATGCAAAGCTGAATTTTCAGCGGTCATTACTCCAGTCTTCAGTGCCACATGATCCTTCAGAAATCATTCCAATATGATTTGGTGCTCAAGAAACATTTCATGGTATTATCAATGTTGAAAACAGTTGTGCTGCTTAATATTTTGTATTAAAAAAAATTTGATTTTTTTTTAGGATTATTTTATGAACAAAACGTTCAAAACAAAAACATTTATTTCAAATGTTTTTACTGTCACTTTTGATGAATATAATTGCTGAGTAACAGCATAAATTTATTTAAAACGAAAAAAAAAAAAACATTCTTAGTGACCCCAAACCATTGAACAGACTTTAAACTTCAAATTATGGATTAAAAAAATTATGGAACATTTACTGCTTAGTTAAAAAGATACAGTTCATAAAACACAGTGTGGCTTGTTTTCATACTACATAGACTTCATCCTCTTATAGGCTTTATAGCACAGCTCTTCAACTCTAGTCCTGGAGAGCCTTTAGTGCCAAATTTAACCCATCTGTCCGTAGTTGGCAAGCAATTCCGAACACCTTGATTAGCTTCTTCGGGTGTGTTTGGTTAGAGTTAAACTCAGCAAGACACTGGACCTCTAGGACTGGAGTTGAAGAGCCCTGCTTTACAGCTACATTTAAACAAACCAAATTTGGAACATAAAACTTACAAAACTAGATTTTTTTTACTCAAAACAGACAGTTTTTGATATAAAGGCCTTTGTGTAAACTAGCCCCAGTCTCCCGTTTGATTTCTATCTATTATGATCTACTATAGTCAGCAGTCCGTACCCTCCTCGCCTTGCACTGGCTCCTCCAGCAGCAGTTCGGTCATGCACTCCCAGTCCTTCAGCAGCTCCTGAGAGCTCTCCCACAAACTGTCCACTAGATAGGCAGCATGTTCATGCAGCTGGAAACACAAACACACATAAACTGTTAGCTCTGACACAAACAAGAGATTCAGACCAACAGAAATGAAACTAGCTGGATTCTGATGCCACCTCAGGAGACAAATATTGTGTTAACTTATCATAATTCTCCATTCTCATTCAGAATTCTCTAGTGCCTGATTATCACTTGAGGCATTACCTCGCTCTCCAAAAAGAAGAGCACCAGCATGCGGATAAGGTTTCCGTTTGGGCTGCTCCTGCCTCTGCGTTTTGCCAGAGCTTCCTCTGCCTGAGGATCATGTCTGCTAAACAACCTACATATGACAAGAGTAGAAAATGGACAAGAAAATATCAAATGAATTCAAATTAAATTATTAAATTATATATATTTTTAATTAAAATAAAATAAAGTTAAATAAAAATAATTAATTAATTAATACAATAAAATAAAATAAAATTAAATTAAATGAGACAAAAGCCACAGAGATAAATATTCAAAGACGATATTTTACAGAGAAAGGATGTTAGCTGGCTCACTTTCTATGTAGAAACTCCCCAGCAGCCACTGCCACAGGCCTGTGAGCGGAGTACACCAGATGATAGACATTCTCACAGTCCTCATTAGACAAAGCGTCCTCGCTACCCCTGAACAAATGAAAAACATTTGATGGGGGAAAGCATCCAGACTGTATTTACAATCAGCATCTGAGCTTCACTCACTGAAGGATTAGCGTGACCAGTCTGATGGCCTCCACAGCCACATCATACTCTTTATCCAGCGTCATAGACACGATACGATCCTGTGAGGAGATTTGATCATCATCTACATGGGGAACACATTCAGAGAATTGCGATACCTCTGCTAAACGGCGTTCTTACCTTGAAACGGTTCGTGAAGAGCTCGAGTTTTGGAAACAGTTCGCGGTTTGTGTAGAGGTTTTGTAAGGCTTTCAAACACTTCAAGCGCACTTCACCTTGCTGGAAATGGAGGATGCTGATATTAATAAACTGAAAATGAAATATTACAGGGGCAGAAGTCCCGCAATTGGGTTTATGTGGAGACGGCGTACCCGATCATGTAAGGTCCAGCCGACGTACTTCAGGTAGCTGTCATTCAGGAAGGCATCGCTGTACATTTTCATCCACACACCGATCTCCTCTATACAAATGGCTCTGATTTCAGCAATTGCATCCCTGCCAGTCACAAAGAAGATGAGACCAGATATCCACAGCTACTAGTGCACTATTATTGTGAAGGTATACAACTCTGATCACCTATAACGATGAACAAAGATTCCCTTGAAGATCGAGTTCATCATGTTTTCGATTTCATCTTGGTTTTCTTGAAGCTGGTGAGAAAGATTGTTCATATGAGTAAATGATCAGCAATAGAATGACTGTATAGTGATACAATTTATTTCACATTTTCTGCAAACCCACTAAATTCTGTGAAATATGTGTAGGACTTTCTGAAGGAAACATGTTTAATTTCTGAGGAAATCTGCTGATTCGTGAAGTTCTGTGCATGGAATTAAATGTAGGCCTCTACAAATGAATTTAACACAGAGTAAGATAAGAGTGCTTAGGAATTGATACCTCTTTCCTTCTTTGAAGTAGGAGTTCAAGCTTCTCATTGGCTCTCTTTCCCACCATTTTGTTGCGTTCGGCTTCATACTGTCTTTGTGTGTTGTCCTGATTAATGCTCAGATTCAGAGCTACGTTCACCAGAGCTGTCATGAGCTTCATGGCTGAGGGCAAAAGAACAAAGGACAGGGATGCAAACTTATTTTTTATTCTTTAAACAGAATCTGAAAATATCTCTCTCTCTCTCTACTTCAGTCTTAGGTCACATGCACATTGCTTTTATGAAATCCTCTACGACTATAGAAATAATATATATTTTTTTACATTTTATGTATATTTAAAGACACAGATACAGCATATATTTTGAAGATATTTACATGTACTTGTGTATATATTTATATTCATATAAATTATATCATATATCAATATTAGTGCTGTCAAAATATTAATTGCGATTAATCGCAGCCAAAATATTTACATGTACTTGTGTATATATTTATATTCATATAAATTATATCATATATAAATATTAGTGCTGTCAAAATATTAATTGCGATTAATCGCAGCCAAAGTAAAAGTTTTTGTTTACATAATATATGTGTGTGTATTGTGTCTATTTATTACGTATATATTAATACACACACATACAGCATATATTTAAAAAAATATTTACATGTATATATTTATATTCATATAATTTTAATTATATATAAATATATTTAATATATAAACGTAACATATTTTTCTTAAATATATACATGCATGTGTGTGTATTTATATATACATAATAAATATACACAGTACACACACATATATTATGTAAACAAAAACTTTTATTTTGGATGCGATTAATCGCGATTAATCGTTTGACAGCACTAATAAATATATTTAATAAATAAACGTAACATATTTTTCTTAAATATATACATGCGTGTGTGTGTATTTATATATACATAATAAATATACACAGTACACACACACATATTATGTAATCAAAAATTTTAATTTTGGATGCGATTAATCGCGATTAATCATTTGACAGCACTAATTAAATTATAGAAATTAAACAAACCAATAAAGAAATATGTAGCAGTAGTATTAATATCACTGATCTGTAACATAAAAAACAAGTATTTAATCATAATAATTATTATTGTTATTTTTTTAATAATAAAATTATACAATACTAAAAAATACAGTACTGATATTGATGGCTATCTTCAACTCATTGCTTTTAAACATGAAACCACAGAACTTCTATTGTGGCAGAAAACCACAGGGAGACCTTTTTGTAGACAACAGATTAATAATGTAATTCTCATTACAAATTGAGGTTTACCTGCTAGAGTGCTGGTGTGTCTGAAGGCTCGAACCTGTGAGTCCGACAGACCCGTCAGCAGAGAGATGACCGTGTCCATCATGTACTCATCGTAGATGATGCTGTACTGGCACTGGCGGATCAGGACGCAGATGAACTCAGAAAAGTTGTAGCGAAACTTCTTCCACAACGGGCCAGAAATGGTCAAGGGGTAATCGCCACTGTCCTGCATTAAAACACAAAAGAAATGACCCACTCAGACCAGAGTTCAAAGGTTAATTTCCTACATAAGATTCTGTATAAATTCATCAGAAAAGATACCTCGTCAAACTCCTCTGTCATTTTGCGGATAATTTCAGCATTCTGCATGTTGCGAAACATTTCGATTCTTACAGTGCCTGAAAAGAAGGACGGTCAGTAATCACTACTATTATGAATACTACATTATTATTATTATTGATTAATACTACTTATGAGCATGAGGTATTTGTACCTTTACAGCCAGAGCACTGGATGAAGAAGTTGATGAGGTCCAGAAGTGCTAAATCTCTGTCTTGCTTGTATGACTCAATCCAATCATCAACAACCGACTGAAAGAGTCATGGACAACTGTGTCACTATTTACAATAAACACAGTGGACGAGTTGCTCAACACTCTTTCCTTTAGCAGAACAATCTGGCTTTGAGAGTTATTAAGTGAGTCTGAAATGGTGGATGTAAAAACTGCACACCTCCAGCTGTTACATATTCAACATCTGCTCATCTGAAACATTTGATCTGAAACATTTGGACACCAGATATACATTTCACTCTTCATTTAACACTGAAAAAGGCACACTATGTAACATTTTATAATTAGGGCTGTTAAAATGAATGTGTTAAGGTATGCAAGGAGTTAATTATGCACAACTGTTCAAAGGTTTGGGGTCTTTTTTTAATGTTTTTTAAAAGTACTCTCTTAGGCTCTTCAAAGCTGTGGAATATTATTGTGGAATATCATTACAATTGAAATAACTGTTTTCTGTTTTAATAAAGTTTAATTTATTCCTGAATTTCCAGCAGCCATTACTCCTGCCTTCAGTGTCAAATGCTTCTTCAGAAATTATTAATGCTCAAGAAACATTTCTTCTTATTATTAAAGTTGAAAACAGAAGTGCTGCTTAATATTGTGAAAACCGTGATACATTTTTTTCAAGATTATTTGATGAATAGAACGTTCAATAGGACAGCATTTATTTGAAATAGAAATGTTTTGTAACATTATAAATGCCGTCACTGTCACTTTTGACCAATTTAATGTGTCTTTGCTGAATAAAAGTAGTCATTTTATTTTTAAAAATCCACAAATGTTTGAACAGTAGTGTACACATTTAACACTATTATATGTTTTAACACTGTTAGCAAATTTATTCAGTTTGACATAACCTTTTTATTCTGTTATGTGTGATTTCTATAAACTGAGTTTTAGTCTGACTACATCCGTAGCACTTGCATTCTTTGTGGGGTGAAATTGAATTTGAATTATCATCAAAGCTCACCAAATGCATTAACACCCATGTGAAATAATATTAGACACGAGGTACCTATAAAAAGTTCTAGCAAATTTGCATAGTGATGCACATGGTGATCCGTTTTCTCTTCTGATTTGATCTGTGTTTGATACCTGCATAGCGCTCTTTCCCTGTTTGACCACTTCAAACAGAGTGACAGGATCGCCCTCTCCGTTCTGCTGGGCCATTCCATTGGCCTTCCGCCCCCGCTGGACTCCCATCGGGCATTTTTCTAAAGGGGACTTCCGTGGCTTCTTGTTGGGTGCCTGGAGTCAGGGGGAATAGAAATGCTAAGTGAAATCATGAATAATACAAAATCTGTTTTTGTGGTAAGTCAAGGAAATCGTTTTCGTGTGAGGCATACAGGTGGTCTGCCAGGCCGGCCTCTCTTCTTCTTGCTCTTTCCATCTCCAGGGTCGTCCAGCTCACTCATACTCATACTGAGACTCACTGTGTCCTGACCCGACTCACCCGAGTCCCTGCGAGGAAAACACCATGAGCTCCTCATGAACTCTGCCACAGGCAAGAACATCTGAGTCATCCAATCAAAGTGTGTCCACATCTGATGAAGCGCACTAAATACTGCTATTTAGGGTTTTGCAAGCTTAATTCTAATCATTAAAATAATATCAATTACATATTAAGTGTATGTATTATTTTTAATGTCTCTTTAGCCAATCAGAAAAATTACATTTAAAATATCTTAGATCAATCACAATCACATCACATATAATAAACATTATTCATAACCATATCTAATCATATTTTGTGGTTTAGTGTTTTGTTTTATACTTAAAAAGTTATCATATCCATATCATACCTACCATATCTTCTCAAACACAAAATCGACAAATGCTTTCGTTGTGTTTATTTCATTTACTCCATTATTTATAGAGCAATTTATTAACAATTGAAGAAATTGTTTGTCACATAGAATGTTTAACATTTTTCAGAAATTTACTGTAATCAGTCATAACAACATAAAAAAAATGACATTGGACCAGTGGCATTTATTTTTTTTTTTGCTATTATATTTGTATTAATATTGTAAATTAACTTTCATTTTTATATTTTCAGTTTTAATTCTAGTTTAAGTTTTGATAATTTTTATGTGCTTGTAATTTCCATTAGCATTTGTTTTATATACAAATAAATAGGCCGTCTATATTTATATGTGTATATATATATAAATACATGTATGTATTTAAGAAATATTTACATGTATATATATGTACATATTATATAAGTATATATTACATATATTTCTTAAATATACATGTATGTGTGTACAGTATATTTATTATGTACATATAAACATATACAGTACACACATATGTAAACAACACAAACTTTTATTCGGAATGCGATTAATCACGATTAATAAATTTGACAGCTCTAAAGAAAAAAAAGAATATATATTTCCTATATATATTTCTTACATATATTTAAATACATTTCTGAATTTTCAGCATCATTACTCCAGTCTTCAGTGTCACATGATCCTTCAGAAATCATTCTAATATGATCATTCACTGATTTATTATCAGTGTTGAAATTTTTATCAATTTAACACATCCATGCCAAAAAAAAGTATTAATTTCTTTAAAAAAGATAAAAAAGAAAGAAACCATTTACTGACCCCAAACTTTTGAATAGTAGTGTATATTGTAAGAACATTTCTATTTTGAATAAACACTGCTCTTTTTAAACCTTTCATTTATCAAAGGATCCTGAAAAACGTATCACAGGTCCCAAAAAACTGTTTCCAACACTGATTATAAATCAGCATATTAGAATGATTTCTGACGGATGACACTGAAGACTGGAGTAATGATGCTGAAACTTGTGCTTTGCTTCACAGGAATAAATTAGATTTTAAAGTATATTCAAATAAAAAAACTTATTTTAAATTGCAGTAATATTTCACAAAATTACAGCTTTTTCTGTATTTTTGATCAAACAAATGAAGCCTTGATGACCATGAGAAACTTAAAAAAAAGATTTTAAAAAATCGTACTGATCCCAAACTTTTGAACGGCTGTGTATATATATAAAACGCTTTAGTAATTTCATTCACTGATTTATTATCAGTGTTGAAATTTTTATCAATTTAACACATCCATGCCAAAAAAAAAGTATTAATTTCTTTTAAAAAGAAAGAAACCATTTACTGACCCCAAACTTTTGAATAGTAGTGTATATTGTAAGAACATTTCTATTTTGAATAAACACTGCTCTTTTTAAACCTTTCATTTATCAAAGGATCCTGAAAAACGTATCACAGGTCCCAAAAAACTGTTTCCAACACTGATTATAAATCAGCATATTAGAATGATTTCTGACGGATGACACTGAAGACTGGAGTAATGATGCTGAAACTTGTGCTTTGCTTCACAGGAATAAATTAGATTTTAAAGTATATTCAAATAAAAAAACTTATTTTAAATTGCAGTAATATTTCACAAAATTACAGCTTTTTCTGTATTTTTGATCAAACAAATGAAGCCTTGATGACCATGAGAAACTTAAAAAAAAGATTTTAAAAAATCGTACTGATCCCAAACTTTTGAACGGCTGTGTATATATATAAAACGCTTTAGTAATTTTAGTACTTCAACTTATTTCAAGTGTTTTAAGTTGAACGTTTTTCATCTAACACGTATTTAGTTGTAGTTAACACGAAGAACACTGACATGTAGTTCAGTTGCAGTGTGTGAGTGGAAGTGAAGCAGGACTCACTGTAGCACTGGCAGCTCTGAGGTGATCATGATGATGGTGTGTTCCAGGTCTGCTGTGTGTGGTGCTCTGCTGGGAGGACGTCTTTCAGTGTGCTTCTAGTGCTGATGACAGTATTAACACTGCAACTCTGAGCCTGCAGGAGACAGAAGGAAAAAACGACAGAAGAAGGTCTTCACTGACTAGAAAAACATGCTCTGTATACGCAATATTATTTCACCGACAAGCTTTAGATTCCATAATTAATGACTTTAAACAAAGCTAATATTTCGCATAAAAAAAAAAAGAGTGATAATTTGCAGATTTAGCTTTTTAGTCGATAGAAATTTGAATTACTGTAATGCCCCATAAACGCATTTCTGATGTCAAAGCCATGAACTTGACATATTGTTCAGGTCTGTAACCTCACACACCTTCTGAAACACTGTAATATGGATTAGAAGTCAAGTTTAAAAGGCTAAACAGAGACACCAACTGGTCATTTGATGAACTGCATCAGTACACCATTAACAGAGATGTCAATCTACACAATCACAGGGGAAAGTGCTACAGATCTGCACACACAAGCATTAGCTATTCTGTTTCAGAATTATTATTTTTTTAAATAGAATCAAATCCATATCAATATCACTGAGAAAAATATATAAATATATATTTTTTTACTTTAAATTTAGATAAACCGTTTTTCTGTTCATAAAATTTACATTTTCCTTAAAATTAGGTGAAATATCAAATTAACTTATGTCACTGACCAGCCAAAAGTTAATTAATCGGAGTTATTTAGCATTACGCTTTCATCTCTCAACACAACAGAAGACAAAAAGGGCCTGTTTGATTGTTTATTACAACATCGAGGCTAAAATATTAAGCATTTCATTTTAAAAACAATCATTAAAAATGTATTTTAAAAGATTTTGTGTGATTGTTTTTATTGTTCTGACTAACACCACTAGGGGCAGTATGAACCATAAAGTACTTGACCTTTAATGATTCTTTGATAGCATAACGAAATGTGTTTCTGCCTAATTTTCAAATCTATAAAAATCTAAATGAATGTACTTTTGGCTCTAAGAGACAATACTGATTATAAACAGACTTTTTGAGTGAGTTTTCTCCCACTAACAGAATGCTAGACTCCAGAAGATGTAAAGCACTTCTTGGGCAACAGTAGGGGGCAGGCTAAGAAAGTTTTCATTAAAATGTTCCCTCTCTACTAACACTTAGATATGGAAGTGCACATGAGTTGAATCACACTATAAGCTCTCTTTCCATCACTCTTCCTTTAATGCAGAGAACTCTTACAGTGACGCACAAGAAAAACCAGGCCATGCCAAGGATTTCCAGAGAAATATGGACTCTCAATATAAGATATTGATCTCCAAATATGGACAAAGATAAAATGTCAAAATGGAAAAGAAAGTGTGCTTGCATAAATGAAAGGTCATTCAAGACCATCACTATATGGTGAATTCAGTGAAATGAGAACTCATTGAAACATGCACTACAGGAGGAGAAATGAGTGTTCGACAGATTTCAGTGGTGTAAAGGTGAGGTGAAGAGTATCCTCTTTAGACTGCCACTAGATGGCTGTGCGCTGTAGGTGTCCTGGAAGACTCGAATTCACAGGTGTGAGTCTGCAGTGAAGTTAAACTGAGCCACTGTTGGGACACACAGACAAAAACTCTTGTGCAGAGAGGCAAAGTCGCTTTAACAAGAAATAGGCAGGATGTAAGTAAGGGAGTGTAGGAAAGCTGAGTGGTTCAAATATGACCCTGTAACCTCGTCCTCAGTGTCGTGGTTCACACACATGGGAGCGCTTTAAATATTAACCCCCCCACCACCACCCCCCCGCTGCTAAACGCTCACAACCAGCACAGAGTACACGGACACATTACACCTCGCTGACACCAGCACTGCACTGCAAAACACATCAGAGAAAACAAGAACAAGCGGTGCAGAAATCAAACGGATGGCGGCAGAAACGCCACAGATGTGACCAAAATGGGCTGTGAATTTATAAGAAATATCTACACTACCAGTCAAAGGTTTTTGAACAGTAATACATCTCTTCTGCTCACCAAGCCTGCATTTATTTGATCCGAAGTACAGCAAAAACAGCACAATTTTGAAACATTTTTACTATTTAAAATAACTATTTGAATATATTTAAAAATGTAATTTATTCCTGTGATTTAAAAACTGAATTTTTAGCATCATTACTCCAGTCACATGATCTTTCAGAGATCATTCTAATATTCTGATTTGTTGCTCAAAAAAAACAAACATTTATTATTATTATGTTGTAGATTTTTTTCAGGAATTTATCTGAAATAGAAATCTTTTGTAACATTATAATTGTCTTTATCATCACTTTTGATCAATTTAAAGCATCCTTGCTACGTAAAAGTATTAATTTCTATAATTTCTTTCCTAAAAATTATAATATAGTTTTATAATATAATATTATAAAATTATTTTAAATAGTGAAAATATTACTGCACAATATTATTGCTTTTGCATTGTATTTTGGATCAAATAAATGCAGGCTTGGTGAGCAGAACAGAATTCTTTTTAAAAATCTTACCGTCCAAAAATGGTTATTTGTGGTTATTTCCTCTGTTTTGTAGTTTTAGTAGAACAGTTGCACGTGCTCTTATATTGAGAGCACATTGCTACTAAAGATGGACATGAGCACTTGTGTAATCGAAAGGGTCAACAACAATTGATCATGTAAGCACATTAATCGCTTGACATTTTTTTCTTCATTTTCACACTGATCGAAATCCAGTAACAACTACACAATTTTTTTATTAGTTATGGAATAGTTTTCAGCAACAGAATCTGTTAGAGATTCTGTTCAGAGAGCGTATATACACACAACAATAAGTTTTTCCATTGAAAAACAGCAGGATGGAGCACAACTCAATAGAAGTATTTAATGCCATCTTAAAACACTCGTATGAAATGCTGAAAAAATTATGGATGGCTTAATCTGCCCATCTTATGCATACGTACATAGACCAAATGCTGCATTTAAAGGGATAGTTCACCCAAAAATCTCTAGCTTCTGCTAACTGTTACAGCAGAACAACTGTACACACGTTCACATGAGAGTGTTGTCCAGCGGATGACGTATAGGACATAGGCACAGCGTAAATTCTGGTGGGAATATGCAAGTCTTTTCTTGACTTATATTTACATTTTACTTACGTTTTGTGCTTCTAATTCTAATACTTAAATATTTAGACTTAATAGGCTATTTATTTTCAAACTTTTTTACATTTTAATCTCGACTACAACATGCCCTTGATATTATTTGAAAATGTTTTGATTCTTTATTGTTCAGTAAGACTTTACATTAGGGCTTCAATAGTTAACAATAGTTAATTCATTAGTTAACATAAACTGCCAATGAAAAATTCTTGTAAACATTCATTAATCTTAGGTAATTCCAATATTTAATAACACGTTGTTAAAATCAAAAGTTGCAACTGTGAGCTAACATGAACTAAGAGTTGTATTTTTTAACAATGATTAATAACTTCTGTAGCAAATGTAGCTATTGCTCATTGTTAATGTTAATGCATTAACTAAGGTTAACTAATGAGATCTTTTTTTTAAGTTATTTTATGGGCTTTTATGCCTTTTTATTATTGAGATACGACAGTAGAGAGACGACAGGAAAGCACTGGGAGGAGAGAGGGGAGCGAGATCAGCAATTAATTAGCAATTAATCGCAACATGAAAATTTGATACCGGCATATCCCTAGAACCAAGCAACATTGGGATTTAATTTCTCAAAATATCTTCTTTTATGTTCCACAGAATTCATTCTTGAGGGTTGTTTTCACAGAACATATTTTTCTAGCATTTTGCAGGGTCAAAAAAGTAAGCAAAAAAGTGAGAAGCAACCTGCAAGGTCTCGATTTTGACTTTTTTTCTCTGAGTGCTGTGTTTTTAAACCAATGTGCCATGCACAAGACTTTGCAAACTTGATTAACTGTGCTGCAAGTGCACCAAATATTGTTCTTTATATCAACAGCTAATTATCAATTCTAATTTTGATGCCATGCATCACTTTCTTTTAATGTGCACGTGTATCAGCTGACACATACTAAAACACTCATCATAACCTTCGTTTTTCTCAATGAACCAAAAAAGCAATGGATCAGCCAGACGCCATGTGGATCCATCAGGTCAAAGCAGCTATTTTCCAGATCATGGCTTTGGTTTGAGTCCTCTGTGGGGAGGGATGAGTGATCAATGTCTAAATAAAGGTGTTGGAGAGCTTGTTTATGTTGTTTCTGGAAGTGATTCAGTAAGTCTCTGGCTGTGTTTTATTGATTTGCTGTTTGAATTCACAGCCTGATTCACTCAGAGAAAACATGAGTCAATACACATCACCCAATCCTACAAATATATATTTAATAATAGCATCTAAAATGAGAGGCTGCAAGAGGGTTTGCATTCAAATAAAATCTTTACGCCTACACCATGAGCATTTCTTAAAGGAACAAAAAAACACCCAGCAAAAAGTTATAGTATAAAAACATTAAGCGTGTGGGCGTAAATAGATGACCTTCATCTGCTCCTCATGTTCAGCAGAATCAATTTGAGGCGCACTGAAACGGGCTAATGCAGTCGAGACGGACCTTCGCATACTCTCTCTCTCTCTCTCAAGTGCTTTATTGACATAACAAAATTGCTTCCTATTGCCAAAGCAATAACAGAAAATAGAAAAACAGAGCTAGAGAAGCAGAGAACATAAACGAGGAGGACAATAGTAATAAACAAAATGAATATATTACAATCACACACAAAAAATGATAGCGATTAACAGATGAGGAGCATCTCCAAATGAGCTGTACATGAACAATGCCTCTATTAAAGGGATAGACAGTTCACCCAAAAATGAACATAGCGTCTTTATTTACTCACTCACTTTTGAATGATTTGGGAATGAATGCTGTTTAGGCATCAATGGCCTCGAGTCATTTTGTATTCCAGAAAAAAAAATAACATGGATTTAGCAGGTAAAGTAGTTTGTCTTTATATAGTTTCTCTCTCTCTTATTCTCAAGTCATGTGGAGATATGATTAATGAGCACTACTGTGAGGAAAAATAGTGGCTCCTTTT